ATCAGTATGAACCCTAGTTTAGTATAGATACAGGTGGTTCCAAAGAGAAATATTTATAGGTATGTATATATGCCTGGGTTAGTATAGGCACTATATTTTTTGCTCTATCAGCTGAAAGGACCTAAAGAAATGGCACCTCAGTAGCTATAAGCACAGCTAACACCCAGATCTTATTTGCTAATGCCATTCTTCAATAAAAGAAACCAAAGCTCCATGGAGAAAGGGCTAATTCTATGTTTAGGCCAGAAAATAGACAAGATGAGCCTGGAGCATCTTATAGTGCCAGAAAATAATAAAGTGCGAAAAAGATCCACCTTGATAGGAATATGTCAAAGGGACACAAGAACCAACTAAAAGACCCACAATGGCCAAAGCTGGGAATTTTTTAACAAAGTAGTATTGCATTACAACCCAAATTAAAATAAACATCCATAAGTTCATACTGACATAAACAGTGGGGAGAAGAGACAGCTCCCAGACAGAAGAATTCCAGATCCTTTCTGTAGATACTCCACTCCCAAGGGTGACATCAGAGTTAAATACAAGGTAAAGGTATAGGGTACATACTGGCCCAAGTACCAAGGCAGGCTCACCAGAATTTATGCTTAGGGTTTCATCAACTTACAAACTTAACTACTATTTTTGCAAAATTAGAACATCCTGTTTTAAATGAAGGGGTTGAAACAGACACTTGCAATCACCCAAAATCTGAATTGTAGAAAACTTGCAGGTAACCTCTGCAACAGTATCTTAAGAGTACATAGTACCAAGAGTTGCATGAACAAATGCAAGCATTTCCTGCTTAATGTCAGGTATCCCTTTGTGAAGTTCAGACATCTGCATGGACACCAGGAAACTATTTCCTGCAGTGTTAGATGCACTTTGCATAAGAGAAAACATCCCACCAACTTCCTTGAAGGTGACAAAAAAACACAGCAAAACATCAACACATAAATAACAAATTACCAAGTTAAGAGATAAAATACTAAAAAATACTACACTGTAATTACTATGTGATTGTTCACAAATGGTGATTTTTGATCAGTTAAAAGTCTCTGTTAGTTTTCCACAGCATCCTCAGGTGATTCTCACATTTGACCACTTACATTCAGAATGTAACTTGAGACTTTCCCTGTACATCATTCAGCTAAAACATATATTCAGTTTTTGAGGCCATAACCTATATAAATATTAGCAAAATCCTCAATAGATAGAGATATGTGTTCTTTGAAGTTTATACTATAAAATGAAAGGTAGCAGACCAAACAACATGCACACACACACACACACACACACAGTTTCCTCTGATTTTTAGAAAAGGTGATATTGCATCACAGTGGGAGAGGATGATGTCTTCAATTAGGGACAATTTTATACCTACATGAAAAAAAAATGGCCAATCACACAATAAGAAAAAAATCAATAGCAGATGGATTGCATATCTGAATGTAAATGGTTTAACAACAAAGATTTTAGAGGAAATCATAGAGAACATCCTCATGAATTTGGAGTTGTCAAGATTTCTTTAAAAAGACAAAAGAAGAAATAACCATAAAAGGAAAAGGATGTAAATTAGGTCATATTAAAATTAAAAATGTCTGTTCATCAAAAGACACCATCAAGAGAGGAAAAATGCAACCTAGAGAGTAAAAGAAGATAATCATAATAAAATATATTCAACAGAGAACTACTATCCAGAATATATAAAGAGCCCGCATAAATCAATAAGAAAAAGATAGAGACTCTAACAAAAAAAGGGCAAATGACATAGGCAGACACTGAGGAGATCCAAATAGCCAATAAACATATAGAAGTGTGCTCATATTCACTAGTCAGCAAAGTTCTTCTGCCAGATCTTGCTAAAACTAAACTTTTAAATATTGAAAATATTAATAATTAAAAATGTAGAGCAAACAAAAATCTCATGTACTGCAGGTTGTAGTATAAATTGTTACAGTCACTTTGGAAAACTGTCTAGCATTATCTACTAAACTAAATATATGCATACCTAAGACCCAGCAATTCTACTCCTAGGTACATACCCAACAGAAATGCATGCATGTGCTCACCAAAATAAACAAGAGTGCTCACAGGGGCACTATTCATAATAGCCCCAAAGTAGAAACTACGCAAATGACTATCAGCTGTAGATTGTCTAAATAAATGCTATGTTCACCCAAAAGAATACCCTACAGCATCAAGAATGTCCAGTCTTCAAACACATGTAATAATGTCAAGCAAACATCTCAAACACAGAAGAGAATATAAATATGGTTCTGGGTATATAAATTACAAAGAAATAAAATAAATGATGCTATTAGAAGTGAGAACAGCAGTTCTTTTTGGAGAAGGTAGTTTCTGGAAGATTACATAAGGGGGATTTCTGGGGTGGCAGAAATGTATATCTCTTCCTCTGAGTTCTGGTTACATGTGTGGTGTTCCATTAGTGAAAATTCATCAAGCTGTCCATTTATGGTATGTACAATTTATATACATTACATAGAACATATGTAAACAGTTATGCATACACATCTACATGCATAGGTGTACATATATACACATACTTCCATAAAAATTAAAGGAAAAAAATGTAAAGCTTATTGATCAGCTTATTCAAAATGTATTATTATTCCTCACTGAAAACTAGGGAGTCTACATGTTTAGGATCAAAGTCTAAAACCTGCAGAAACCTAAAGCTTGGACACCAACTTTAAAACCTTAAATGGTTGACCATTGACCTTAAATAAAATCCGAAGCCTTTAGAGTCTCAGACACGCCCTGTCTGCTCCCCCTGCCCCTGCTCCCCTGCCGCAGCTCTACAGAGCCCGCCCAGCTCGGCCTCCAGCCCAGGTCGGCCTCCAGGGCAGTCAGGATCGCAAGCCCTGCACCCTCTCCCTGCCCCTTCTCTCCCGGGCCCCCCAGCCCCATCTATCTGCCTCTCCCTCCCCCACCACCTCACCACCTCAGCCTGCCCTCTGCCCACGTCGCTCCCTCAACCTGTCCCTCCTCCACCCACCTCTCTGCCCACTGGGAATTCTCCCACCATCCCACTGCTTGGACGGTGTCCCCCTGCCTGGAGTCTCCTTCGGGCATTTCCCCCTTTAATACCTACCTGACAGGTGTTCTAACTCCTCATTCTCTTTACATTTATTAGGTGGCCTTCTCCTCAAGCAAAAGCTTTCCTTTCTCCACATTTATTTATTCATTCCTTCACTTATTATCTGCGTGGATTTCTTTTAAATTTGCTATCTGTTACTTTTATGTTTCTTTTCTTAGTAGTCCCAGGCTTGGCCCGTGGGGGCCCCTCCCAGTTGGCTTCTCTGTCGCTGGCAGGTCCCCATAACCCCCTGAGCAGCGTCCTGTTTCTGGCCCAGTGAGATGCTCTGGCCTCCTCTCCTGTTTCTCCCCGCCCAGCCTGGGGTTCTGCCAGCTCTCCCAGGATCCCGGTTCCTCCAGCAGAAAGCCATGTGGAGAAGCCAGAATGCGCGCACCTGGTGTGCTCGATGCCAGCAAGGCCTGGCGACTGTCACGCCCTCTCCAGGTCACACCAAGACCTCCAGTTCCAGGCCAGCACCACCAGGCACCCCCACTCTCTCCCTTTCCACATGTATAACTGCCTTCTCTGACTATGAGCAGCCTGCTGCCCCAGCCCTCTGTACACTTACTCATCGAATCCACACCTCCACAGTGAGATATCCGCCAGCACCCCCTCATGTCTGAGCACGGGGCCGCCTCACCCTCCTGGGCTCCAACACCCCACGTTGGACGTGGAAAACAGAAGTGGTGGGGAAAGCAGAAGACAAAGGACACAGAACTAGAAGATTTTGAAACAACAGAAAATCTCTCAGATTGCCCAGAAAAGAGAGAAGTTGAAATTAAGAGGGGGCCCAGGTTGAAGGAAATGAGCCTCTGGGGCTTTGCGGTGAAGGTGGGCTGCGACGGCTGTGCCCGGTCAGGGCGATGTCCAGCCCAGCTCTGCGTCCTCCGTTTAGCCACAGAAACAAACAGTGCTGCCCCTCACCTAACATGAAGGTCCGATTGTACAAATAATTCCAAGGCTTTGCACCTGGATCACCAAGGCTGCCCTCCGGAAATAAATCTGTCTATAAAGTTGCAAAAGCCAATCCTGCATATAAATGTACTTGTCTTCTAAAACAAAGGGCATTTCTGAGGGATTCAGCTTCTACGTTTCCTGAGCATGTACTCTTTCTTGCCATGTGGAAGGCTGGGACAGTGAGAGGTGTCAGCCCCGGACGCCTCCAACCCTGTGGGCCCGAGGCGAACTGCCGCCCCCAGGCTGGCCAGAAATACCCAAGCCAAAGGGTGGGGAGCTAATAGATACAAAAGAAATCATGTGAGAGCTGTTAGGCCCTAGTATTGTGCAAACCGCAGAAGAGTTAAGAGAACAGATATCTCAGATCCTTGCACACAAAGCTCGGAGGATTCCGGAGGAGCGCAGGAGAACAGATGGGCGGCGTTATGCACAGACATCCCAGCTCCAGAGGAGTAGGTCGTTTGTGTTCCCACTGACATGGATGAGACTTCTGCAGATGCCGCAGCCATATTTTTAAAGATATTCCATGGATGATGGCTCCTGGCCCTCATAGAGAGGCTGAAACTAGGAGATTTAAGCTATTTATAATTCTTCTAACATTTTGTTGGAGTGTAAATGAACACAGAAACATGTTTCATACCTTGTTGAGGTGTGGAGCTCAGTAATTGGTTAATTTAAAAAACCAGCATGAACCTCGGAAAAAATTTTTTTGCTTCCCCAGCCTTCACTGTGGGCATCTGTCCCCTGTTGTTATAACCCACCATGCCATGCACAGCATATCCTGGAACTGCTCTAGAGAAAACAGAGGCTAACAATTCATGCTTACTGTTAAAATTAAAAACAAACAGAAAAAAATTAAACAACAGAAGCTTGTAAGGGTCAGGCTGAGACAGGTGCAAAAAGCCTCAATTTCCCAGGGAAGGCTTTGCATCATTAAGGATCCCACCTTGGCAACATGCTGAGCTGCTTCCGTTCCAGCCGCCGTCTCTGCTGACAGTAACTGCCAAGCTGGTTTGAGCCATTCTTACTGTGCCTGCTTCCAACAAACACCCAGGTTTCATGAAGACGGGGCAGATGAGGACTCCTCAAGGCAGAGAGCTCAGCAAACAGGTCAGTCCTGAGGAAGGGACAAGGTGGGAGCTTCCTAAGTCAAGCCTCAGCCTTGCCCATCCAGGGTTAGCCAGCACCCAACTAGATGCACAAGCAAACATCCTGAATGTGAGCCTGTTTGGGGCAGGAGTTAGGGGGATGCCGGCAGATAGAACTCATGGCCCTGAGGAACTAAGATCGGGGCT